TATCTAATAAATGGTTTCTTTGTTGTCGTGTTTTTCAGACTCTTCCCAAGGAAATGGTAGTACAAAGGGCTCTAGTGAGTGTAAATGTTCATTATATGGAGTGAGTTGAGTGAAGGAAGTGTTATCTTAAGCGTGATCACTTCTTAGAAGGCATTGGTCTCGGTTGTCTATAAATTTGAATCACAATCACTCAACAGAGTGGCCTTCATCACTCTACGGAGTGGTGAAAATTTTTGAATCACTCCGCGGAGTGACCCATCTCACTCTTCGGAGTGATGTGAGCACACTGAGAGTAATACTGAAGTACTCTGCAGAGTGGTTACATGACTCTACGGAATGGGCTTGAAGCATATTTGAGCATAATTCTGACGGGCCCAAACACTTTGGAGGGCGGCGCAATCACTCCACAGAGTGATGCAGAAACCAACTTGGTGCTAAAAATTTTCATTGGTCTCCGCTTTTGGCGTACCCAAGCTTCTCGATATAGTCTTCTCTTGTATATATATCTTGGTGCTACAATAGAAATCACCATCTGATAAATTAATGGCATCATAGATGGTGCTATTGAACTTGCTTGCATTAATACTTGGTGCTAAATAAATTACGGCACTTCCAAATCTCCCAAATAATGAGGGATGGCAATAGCTTCCTTAAAGCCCCAAAAGCTATTTTGAAGTCTCCTCCAGTCCACCATCTGTCAAGCATGGTTACCAACGAAGAAACTTCAAATATATTAACTCCAACAATTGCTGAAAAATGGCGCCACACCTGCATTGCAAAATGGCAACCATAGAAGCAATGAAAAACAGCATCTCCACTATTCCTACAAGAAAGACAAATAGTTGGATATACATTAATGCCCATTCGCCCTAAAACTTCCTGAAATGGCACTAATCTATTGCACAACTTCCACAAAAAATTGAAACTCTCAAAGGAGTAAAAGAATTCCAAACATTGCGCGCCCATCTTTCTGATTCCCTTCTGGGCCGAATTACTTCATAAACCGACTTCACTTTAAGTTCTCCAGTAGAAGTATGCTGCCACACCAGCAAATCATCATTATTCTCATTATCTTCAAGAAACTCTTGCACATGTGCCGCAAGGAAGTCATTAATGTTCCTGCCAAGGAAACCTTGTAATTAAGGGAGTATTGAGTGTTTATTTTGGAAAAAATCACGTATGCTCAAGCTTGGATAAGGCAGCTGAGTATTACCTTCCCCCCAAAGGACTCTAAAAGGAGACCGATTGTCAAACCAAAAAGATTTATTCCCTCAACGGATGACAAGCTTTGTGTGCTGCACAACACGATCACCAACCTTTGATACACGATTCCAAGAAGTTTTTTTCCTTGCTGCCAAGGATAAAGAAAGAATAAACATGCTCCAAACTCCTGTTCTATGCCTTAATTTCCACCACAACTTAACCATTAACGCATCAATGAAACCCTGAAAATTGCGGACACCCAAACCATTCTCTTGGACCGGAAAAGTAAGTTGTTCCCATGATCGCCAATGTCTTCTCCTTTCATCACTTGTACCAGCCCAAAAAATCTTCTGACACCACCTTTCTATGTTTTTGATGACTAATTTTGGGGGAGGAATAGCTGAAAAGACATGCACCAGAATGGAAGAAAGCACATGCTTAATAAGAATCAATCGATCTCCTTGACTCAATAGCTTAATCTTCCAACACAAAAGCCGCTTATCAATGTTATCCAAGAGAAACTGAAATGTAGAGGATTTCCTTCATCCTTGATAGAGCCTACAGCCAAGATAAGTAAAAAGAAAAGCTCCTTTTTGAATCCCTAAAGTCTGCTGAATTAGGGCAACTTTCCTTGTGCAACAATTCTCAGAAACCATGAACGTACTCTTTCGATGACTAATTTTCTGACCAGAAGCATTCTCATAATCCGTAAAAAAACCATTTAGCACTTCCAATGATCTCTTCAACCCCCTGGAGAAGATCATAACATCATCCGCAAAAGCAAGATGCGAAACCGGCATCGAACCACAAGGTGTTCCATATTGCGCAACCTTCCTACTTGCTACTAGAGATTTCAAACTCCTCGTCATAGCCTCAAAAATAATGATGAAGAGATAAGAAGACAAGGGATCACCTTGTTTAATGCCCCTTGAAGATTGGAAATAACCCACCGGCGCACCATTGATAAGGACCGAAAACCAACTTCTTCGTATATTACTCATAATCAATGATACAAAATGTTGCGGGAAACCAAACTTAGCCAAAACCTTCTCCAAAAAACTCCATTTAATGAGATCAAAAGCTTTCATCATGTCAAGCTTCAAAACAAAATTCCCACCTTGTGTCTTTCGACCCAAGAATTGACAAAGTTCCTGAGCCAAAAGTTCATTGTCCATGATATATCTCCCCTCCAAAAAAGTGGACTGCTCTTCTGAAATGATTTTAGGTAAGACAACCTTTAATCTTTCCGTAAGAACCTTGGTCAGAACCTTATTTAAAAAAGTGCATAAACTTATGGGCCTATAACCCAAAAAACTTGTAACACCAATCTTCTTAGGAATAAGAGTGATTGATGTACTTGTAATGGATCTTGGTAAGGGAACCCTACAATAAATTCTTGGCATACATTCCATCGATCATTGGAGATAATGTCCCAACAACTCCTATAAAAATAACAACCAAAACCATCAACACCCGGCGCACTATCTTCATTCAAACCAAAAACAGCCCCCTTTATTTCCTCAATGGTAATCGGTCTAAGCAAAGCCTCCCCATCATAATCATCCACTAAGTGAGGAATATTTTCCAAGAAAGCAACTTGCTTAGTCTCACAAGGGAGAGAATCATCATCATCATTCAAAAGCTCCTTAAAGAATCTCACTGCTTCTTGTTCGATGTCCGCCATATTCTCTAACATTAACGCATCCCGCGTTTGAATTATGAATAAGCCTTGCTTTAAACGTCTCTCTTTCAATGAGGCATGAAAGAAATAGGTGTTAGAGTCCCCCTCTTTCATCCATTTCAACTTCATCTTTTGGGACCAAAAATCATCATGTTACTTTAATCGAAGGAGCAACTCCACTTTAGCAACTTGCAAGCTCATTCTATCTTGATCATTGCCAGAAATATCATACACATTTTCCAGCTCTTGCACTTTATTTTCAGCATCTCTCAAGTTAGCAAAAATGTCCCGAAAAGTCTCCTTATTCCGAAGATTCAATTTATCCTTTAGGCGCTTGAGTTTTAGAGCAAACGCTACCATACCCGAAACCTCCAGTGGCTGCTCCCAACTCTCCTTCACTACCTCCTTAAATCAGACCTTCGCAGCCACATTTTTTGAAAACGAAAGATCTTTGGCTTGATATCAATATTGACATCAAACTTATGAAGCATGGGGCAATGATCTGAGGTAGTTCTGCTGATATTCTCCAAAGAAGAACTTGGAAACAAGTCATTACATTCTTGCGAGATTAAAACTTTATCGAGCTTCTTACTCACCCAACCTGTATGCCGTGTGCCTCCCCATGTAAAAACCTCCCCTACTTTAAGGTTACTATTTGGCTTTATCAACTTAACTGATTAGATAATTAAGGACATAAATTAATGTGGTTGAGAAATGATTAAAAAAATGGAATACTCTCACCAAGCTTCCAGTCTTATTTATTACTGATTAAAATCGCAAACATAAAAAAAAATTTAAAAAAAACCTTAAATTTTTAGGTTGGATTTACCCATGAGTCATTTTTTTCATCACAAGTTTCATTGATCTTTGATCTTCCGAGTTTATCAATTCTTTAATCACATAATATTAATTTTTTATATATAGCTTGATCCAATGTCTAAAACCGTTGAACAACGTACATAACCCATTATCCAGACAGATTACTAATTTAATGAATTGTTAGGTGATAAAGTTTCTTATGCTTCGAAAAAAGATAGAGAGAAAAACTGAAAGAAAAAAATTTAAAAGAAGTTGGAGAATCTAATTCACTCTTCTTCTCATAACTGAAGATCATACTACTAGTAATTAGGGTTCAGGATTGTCCTTCTCCCCCTCTTATAGAATTTATTACAGGTTTGCTACTTTCTTTTACCCATTAGAGTATATCTGTACGAATTGAAATTATATGCTTATTTAACCTAAACCTTATTTCCTAGTTAAAATTAGCCAAATCATAAATACTAAAACCTTGTTTACCAAATAGACACATGTCAATAATTAATTTGAAAAAATATTAATGGACATAAAGGTGAAATAAAATTATAATTGGTATATATTCATTTATTAAAGTATATCTTACCATCGAACCTAGCTACAGGTTCACTGTTACAAGGACAAAATTATCCTAGGACTTTTCTAAGTGGTTTTGGTGCTTGGCTGTACTTGTTTGGTTGATTGGTTCAAATCGTTAATTGGGAATGGCTAAAACCATAGAGCCAAAGGGATTAGATTCAAGTTGGGGATTAGTTTTCATTAGTTACTAAAGTAGTTTTATTAGGAGGGTGAGTAGTTATTTTAGTAATTTGAGAATATAACTAATTGGCATGTAATCTAATGGCCTAGATGATTGGGTTGTCAATCATGTGCTTATAAATACTTGTAAACTTATATTTATAAGGAGAAGGGAGGAAGGCTAGAGTTTTATGCCTTGAGTCTTAGAGAGTATAGTTGCTGAAAATTGCCTAAGTGTAGGTAATTGACCCAAGTTTGGGTGAGAAATCTCTTGTAAACGTTTTGTCGAGTTGAATAAAATTCTGTGAGAGATTTGAGACTTTTTTCCATTAAGTTCTTGTTTATTTTAGATTTTTTTTTATAAATTTCTAAGCATACATTTTGTTGGCTAAGTATCGGATTGTTTTTCCGCTACCTTGACCGATATTTAGTGAGGGCTGGTGGGATTTTTATTAGGAGATCTCACGCTACTAGATCTCTAAATTCGTAGGAAGAACTTAGGGGTCTAACAAGTTGGTATAAGAGTCCTGTTAGATTGGGGCCTGGTGTTTATTGAGGCGAAGAAATGACTGGACGAGGGACGCTTACCGATCATGTTGAGAAAGTTGAAGGTGCAATTCAGCAGATTCTTGAGAAGTTGAAAATGGTTCCACAAGATCAAGTGGTGGTGCCGGCGGATCTGGTGGATTTGAAGCTTCTTGTGATGGGTCTTGTGGCAAAGATCGAGAAGATGGAAGAAACTCTTTCATCTGGGGCTGGATCATCAATTTCTGGTGAGTTAGTTACTAAAGTTGATGGTTTAATAACTGATGTTGCTCTCTTGAAGTGTGCAAGGGTGAATGCACCATTGGTTGGGAAGAAGATTAAAGTTCCCGAGCCTAAGAAATTAAGTGGGGAACAAAGTGCTAAACAATTTGAAAATTTTGTGTGGGATATGGAGCAATATTTCAAGGCTGCCCATGTACCAGAGGAAGAATGTGTTATGATCACAAGCATGTATCTTGATGGAGATGCAAAGTTGTGGTAGAGAACACGGGTGAAGGATCAAAGTAGGCCATAAATGAACTCGTGGATGGTGATGAATAAGGAGTTGCAAGCACAATTTCTTCCTACCAATTTGAGTTGGATGGCTAGAGAGGCTTTGAGGAAGCATAAACAGGATGGTTCTGTTCATGCTTATGTTAAAGAATTTTCATCTCTTATGTTGGATGTAGATGGCATGTCCGAGGAAGAAAAGGTGTTCAATTTTGTGGCTGGATTAAAACCGTGGGCACAAAGTGAGTTACGTCTGCATGATGTGAAAGATCTAACTCATGCATTGCAAGTTGCTGATGGGTTGGTTGATATGCAACCACCAATTGGTGGAGATACTAAAGAAGAGGTTGAGAAAGACAAGTTCTTGGCAAAAGAGAAAGTTGTTGAACCGGCGAAGGTTGATGGCAATGGAAATGGCTCTAAGGGGAAAGGCAAGGGCTGTTTCAAGTGTGGAAAAGAAGGTCATCGAATTCGAGAATGTCCATTGTGGGCAAAGAATGGGGCTGTTCCTGCGAATACTCTCCAAGTGGAAGAAGTTGCTAATGAAGAAGCAATCATTCCAGGGTTGGGTATTATGCAGGTTGTTGAATAAAGTCCGTCGGGACTGGGGGCTATTTTGGTTAAGGGAATCGAAGCAGCCAGGGTTTGTATTCTTGAGTAGGAGATGAACGTGGTAATTATTGGTGATGCTATTCAAATGGAATTGGAGTTCAGGGGGGAACTATGCCAATTTGTTTGATGAGAGCATCAAACTCTTCAAGTGGGGGAGGTTTGTTACAAGGATAAAATTATCCTAGGACTTTTCTAAGTGGTTTTGGTGCATGGCTGCACTTGTTTGGTTGATTGGTTCAAGTCATTAATTGGGAATGGCTAAAACCATAGAGCCAAAGGGATTAGATTCAAGTTGGGAGTTAGTTTTCATTAGTTACTAAAGTAATTTTATTAGGAGGGTGAGTAGTTATTCTAGTAATTTGAAAATGTAACTAATTGGCTTGTAATCTAATCGCCTAGATGATTGGGGTTGTCAATCATGTACTTATAAATACTTGTAAACTTGTATTTATAAGGAGAAGGGAGGAAGGCTAGAGTTTTATGCCTTGAGTCTTAGAGAGCATAGTTGGTGAAAATTGCCTAAGTGTAGGTGATTGACCCAAGTTTGGGTGGAAAATCTCTTGTAAACGTTTTGTTGAGTTGAATAAAAGTTTGTGAGAGATTTGGGACTTTTGTCCATTAAGTTCTTGTGTGTTTTAGATTTTGTTTTTATAAGTTTCTAAACATACATTTTATTGGCTAAGTATCGGATTGTTATTCCGATGTCTTGACCGATATTTAGTGAGGGCTGGTGGGATTTTTGTTAAGAGATCTCACGCCATTAGATCTCTAAATTCGTAGGAAGAACTCAGGGGTCTAACATTCACCACTATTAACTCCCCAAAAATAATTCACCATGCACGTGGAGATTCAATATGGGTTGAGTGCATCTTGAATGCTTTGGAAGCTTTGCTAGTTAGTGCATGAAAGTCTTGGTTAGGCATTTTGAGTTGACATGGTATTTTTCTTTTCTTTTCTTTTTTTCGTTTGCTTTTTGCTATGTTGAAGATAATGATTGGAAAAAAAAAAGTCTGAACAAAAAGGTTTCCAAAATGTTTTGCTGATGCCAAAATGGTTTTCTTTTCGCATGTTGGATTTAATGATGTCATCTTGCGGACTAATTCACGTCATTTTGGGGGGTCAAGTGTCAAGAATTCACAGAAAAAAAAAAATCAAATGCATTAAGGTATCATCATACTATCATAAAACTTTGTAATGTAATAATCTCTGCATGTTTTTAAGTAAAAGATGGATTTTGTTTAGTTATAGTGTACTAATTAATAAAAAAGTTAAATATTTACGCTAATAGTTATAATCATTAAGCATGAGAAGATTAGAGAAACCCCAACAAGATTCAAAAGAGATTAGAGAAAGTAAATCGGGAAGTAATTTTTGAATCATAATCAGAACTTTCCTCCAGAGCAAGTAATATTTCCAAGATCATTACTTTTCGCAGTTCAGAAATTACTCACCTGCAATTCGTCTTTGACGATTTTGTTCTTGAATCCTTTTTATTCCCCCTTTCTTATTCTCCTTCCTCATTTCTTCTTCTTCTTTCTAATTTTCTCCTTCTCCAACTTCATCTTCTTCTTCCTTTTTATCAAATTTTAAAAACATTGGTTTACTAAAAATCAAAATTTAAAAAAATGGCAGAACAAGACACACAACAACGGGAAAAAACACCATCGATACCGGTCAGCCTGGGTACCTTGGCCGGTGAGAAATCCGGCCAAGGGTAGAAGATTGGCCGGGTCAGGGACCAGCCAATCACCCAATAGTGGCATGGCCGACCCGACAGGCAGTCAACTCGGGTACCTTGGCCGGTGAGAAATCCGGCCAAGGGTAGAAGATTGGCCGGGTCAGGCAGTTTTTTTTTTTAATTTTGTTTTTTTAATTTTTTTGTTATAATTAATTTAGTTAAATTTATTTATAATTAATGTAATTAGTTGTTGTATTATTATTTGATTATTTTAGTTAAATTTATATATAATTAATGTAATTAGTTGTTGAATGTTGTGTTATTATTTTTTATATGTCATTTAATTTTTTTTGTGTTTTAGTAATATTTTTAATTTAAATTATTAGGTATAATCTGTTTAATTTAATAGTTAGTTTATATTAGTTATGTGGTATATTTTTTTTAATTTAATTAAATTTATAATTGTATGTGGTATTTAGCTTTAATAATTAATTATCGTCTACATAAATGAATTAGTTATTTTGTTATGTATATTGTATTTTTTAAAATTTTATACATTTCATTTACAGGATTATGGTGGTGACGGTGTTGATTACAGTCATCATTTCGATACTAACATAAGATTCGCAACTATTGAAGACGCTGTGCTATGGGCGTAAAAAACTACAATATCTCTTAATTTCGAAGACAGATGAGACTAAGAAATTATTATGATGTCCCAAGGTTGTTCCCTCTAGAGCTACAGAGAATCGGGTGCGAGAAACAAAGGCACAATATTATGGATGCCCGTTCCAGCTTCTAGCCCAAATTCGCTTAGGTGAATCTACTTTTGGGATTCGTTCATATCCCGATTGTAATGGTACGCATAACCACCCATTTGGCAGCTTCGTGGAGGACAAATGCAGATGAGCGGCCTTAGTGATAAATCGAAGTCGGTTGTTGACGAGTTGATTGACATTAATGTAAAACCGTCAGCAATGCTGCGCACGATTCAGCAGAAATGCCTGGACGAGCACGTTGTGATCAAACAAATATACAACTATAAGAGTAGGATGCAGGTGGACGAGCACGTTGTGATCAAACAGATATACAACTATAAGAGTAGGATGCAGGTGGAAAAGAGGAGGGGTAAATGGTTGGTGGATCACTTCTTTGACATTACTCAGCAACACAAGTATGTGATTACTACGTCTAATGAAAAAGGTGTATTGAGTCATATTTTCTGTGCACATCCAGTATCTGTAGAGTTGATCCGAGCATACCCGTGGTATATTGGCATGGATACTACTTATAGAACAGTCAGGTATAATATGCCGCTGTTACAAATTATTGAGATGACTCCAACCATCAAGAATTTTTTTATTGGATACGTAATTATGAAGGATGAGAAGAAGAAAAGTTATACTTGGGCATGTCAGCAGCGTTGGGATATGATTGGATGGGAGGTGCACCCGTATGCCATAGTGACAGATAGGGAGTTAGGGCTGGCAGAAAAAATCAGTTTGATATTTCCAGATTATGCACATCTTCTGTGCGTGTGGCACATCAACAAATGTGTTTTTGAAAATGCACGGCGGCATTTTGGAAAGAAATTCGTGAACTGGTGGAAGAAGGAGATGTTTGATCCGATACTTGAAGCTCCTACTGAGTGCCTTCATGAAATGGTTGTGATTAATATGTCGTACTACAGGCACCCAAATGCGAAAAGTTATGGAGAGTTGGTGCATTATGTGAAGTCCACTTGGCTAGTTCACAAGGAGAAGTGGACTCGTGCATGGACAAATGGGGTCACACATCTTGGAAACACAAGTAATTGTAGGGTGGAGAGCGCCCATAGTTCCATGAAGAGATTTCTTGACTCAGTGACCAGTCACCTAGTTACAATATGGACTAGAATCCATGCAGCAATCAAATATCAGTTAACTGAGATCAAGTACGTAATCCATTCGTTGTTTTTAATACTTAATTACCAATGTTCTTATATTAACAGTGAGGAATTTAAAAAATAGGTACCGTCTAAGCGAATCAGAACGCCGTTCGACGAGAGAGCACCTTCAGTTTCCCTATGATCGTCTAGTTAGACGTGTCTCACATTACTATTTGGACATTATTCAAAGTGAGTATATTCGCATTCAGCAATTGGGTGAGGATGATGTTTGTGGTTGTGTGTTGAGAACGACCCATGAAATCGCATGTGCATGTGAGCTTAAACAGAAAAGGGAGTTGCAGGTGCCTATTACAGTTGCCAACCTCCACCTTTTTTGGTGCAGACTTAATTTTACAAGTGCGACACCTGATTCGGCCCATAGTGATGATGCTCAACCTTTTGTGTCAGAAGGGCATACAATTTTTACAGAGCTTTCCCTTAAGGCATTCAACAAGAGGCCTGAATTTTTGAGCCACGTCAATAAGTTTCTATACCATGAGCTGGAAGAAGAGGAACACCATGAGTAGATGAGTTTTGAGGAACAAGAGCAACACCATGAGCAGATGAGTCTTGAGGAACCTGCAGTGAAGACAAGTGTTAAAGGGCGCTCGAAAGCGAATATCCCGCGGAAACGGTGTTATTGGGAGAAGTATACTGTTGGTTCAGGGAGATCGCGCATGAGCACAATCCTCGCCTATATACAATGATAGTCGGAAGAATTTTTTGAATTTTTTTTTTTGATGTCACATTTTATTTTTAAACATTGTGTTTCGGCAATCTACATAACGTGAATATTGTTTTTTTAGGTGAGCAAAGAGGTTGGTGACGGATTTTCATTAATATCAATATCGGCAATCTATTCCGTCTTTTATGGTTCCCTTCGTTTGGGGTACCTTGATGTGAGGGGACATGGGAACTGTGGGTTCCGATGTGTAGCAGAGTATGTTTGAAATTCAGGAGAGGACTGGTTGTTGGTCCGAACAACCATTATTCAAGATCTTATTAAATGGCCGGATTTATATGATCCTCCGTATTACTACGACAGGGAACAAAACATACGACGGTTAAGGTGGCTGGTAGGTGGATGCCTTCCGCTCATTATATGGAATGCACACAAGACTTGTACGTGATTGCTACAATCTGGAATGCTGCAGTTTTTCTGTACAATCTCGGGAATACATTAGACGGGGATCTGGATTTTTATTGTTAGACAGTGTTGCCCCTTACTGATCGTGGAGATGCCGGAAGACCAACTCATGAGATTGTGCCTGTTCACCTCGGCTGTGTAGATCATTACATTTGTATTGATTTCAGTAGTGATTTTCCTATACCTCCTGTACATCCTTATTGGTTTAGGTGGCATGACAACAATGTT